GTTGTAGAAGTAGCTAAACTTTTTTTCTTTTAAAGTATAAAGATAATAAACTGGGTTCCATCATCACTTAGTAACCACTTACAAAATCTACTAAACGAAATTGATAATGCATTGTAACTTAATTATGCTTATTACAAAGAAATTTAATTTTTAAAGAAATTTCAGATAAAAAGGCTTTCGTACAGATGCATTTATAAGACAGAATATATCTAATACTAACAATAAGTACAATAATATTCACTATAGCAGAAATGCACCGTTTTTACTTCTGCACAGTCATCAATTACCGCGTCAAAAGGTCCGTTCGTCTAATTCTAATATAAATATTTGAGAATTAAAAGCGGCAACGTCGTGGGTCTGGCGAAAACGAATAAACCTCTATTTTTTATATAAATGGGACAAATTAAACGGTCCAGCATCAGGGCCTGAAGGCATCGCTTGAACATTTTTTGTCCGATATACCCCGGGTCTGACGGCCTATCTTAAACGTACCGGGTCTGACTCCGTCGATTTAATAAATATATATATATAAATAAAAGAACATAAATAAAACAAACGATTTTATTAATAGTAACACTTACCAAATACCTTAAAGGTTGATTTAAATTTAATCTTAATTTTTTAAATCAGTACCTTTTAACATTATTTTTCTGCAGTACTAAAATCCATTATTTACCTATCGTGTGATGTCGATATTTTACAGCTACTATAGTTTTTAGTACCTATATGCTTAGTACGATTCTTGTACTATCACACTTATCTACGACTAGATGGTATACAAACTTTATTGATGGTAACTTTATTGGTGTATAAGACTTTCTGCCTGGGCAGCGAGTATTAACTATAAACTGCATGTGCTCTGGGTCTACAGTTAATTTTCTCTCGATTTTTCCTCCATTTGACTTCAAAAGACACAAAACACACTTAATAACACGAATCAAAATGCAATCATCTTCCAAAACGCAGGGCAACGCAGGGTATTTGACATATGTTGACACAAAAATCTAAAGGCGAGTTCATACGCATCGGCGTCCGTTTGTCGTTCATAGTTCCGTCAAACCAATAAAATTGAAATATGATCTGTCATTTTTTAAATAGACCAATAAAACTGGTTAAAAACAACAAGAGACGACGTATGGCGGATTTATATTTAAACCCATCCATAGTTAACTTAAAAAATATTGGAAACTTTTTTTAGTAAAATAAATAGATTGGTATGGGACGTCATCTGCTTTTTTTCTGTCACCGTCTGTTGAAATCTTACCCAAGAAAAAAAACAGAGTATTTATTATTGTTTTATAATAGACATAATCATTTCTAGAACGGTTATTAGTAAGTTACATTTACAGTTACTACAATAATTAATTGTAAATAATATTTTAGACTATTTTATTTAGTTTTCTCAGTGTAGCAGTATACAAGCGCGCCGTCGGACTAGGTCGCAATAAATATATATCTCTTCGTCCTTTTCTATTTTACTATTTAAATAAAGACTGTTTCTTTCACGCACAGTTGCATTAAATTATTAATACTTACTGGCAGCCTGCATTCAATTCAAAAATTCAATTTTCAGTCAGTGAATAAGGGGTTTTCCTCTGACCATAGGAAATGCAACTAATGTCGTGTTTCTCCAAACAAATTTAATATTCTAGAAATCGCGTTTTTTATAATTATATTTGAATTATTGTCGCTAAATAAGTTTAAATGATCTAATGATGGGATACAGGTAGTAATTGTACCAATTCCCCAGAAAAAAACATTTTCCAGATTGCGTTTCTATGGTAATGTAATTTCGATACATACGTTGGATGTTTTTCATGAAAATTTAAAGCGGATAAGTATGCAGCAATAGAACGCAATGGAGGAGAATTGTAAATTCATGAGTCATATTTTTTGCTATTGTCATAGTATTACCCTTGTTTATAGGGTATTACATTTTCCGATAACTATGATCACCCTTTTCGTAGCCTTGAACTAAATAAATTTTGTGCTTTTTTAACAATTTAAACAGCAAAAAGTGCGACTTTAATTAAAATTCTATTAATAACAATCCATCAAAGGATGAAAACGAAATTATATTACCATAGAAACGCGTTTTGATTTTTAAGACTATGTTTAAGACTTTTTCAGGAAAAAAATCAACCACATTTTTATTTTTTTTTTATTTTCGTTAATGTTCTCTAAAACGGTAGGAAAAGAAGCAAATTTTTTAATGAAGAATGCATTTTTCTCAAAATGTCAATAATAAAAAAAAATTCCTGTTGTAAAGACAACCCGGGGACATGCTGTATATTATTTTCATTGCTGTATTAAGGTACATGTTCATAGAAACATCTTGTTTTATTTTTATCTGTAGGATCGCTTACAATACATCTTTATTAATTAATGTTTGCTTTTACCTGCATACCTATTTATTGTATTTTGTAATATTTTAGTAGTTAAAAGTAGTATAAAAGTACTTAAAAGAACATAAAACAATGCTATTCAACTTTAATACAATATGATCGAAAGAAAACGGCGTCAACGATGGCTATGAAATGAAGATCGCTGTCATTTTATATGTAAAATTTTATGAGGAATGTCATCGATGTTTATTTATAAGCCAACTGGACGCCGTATTTTTCGATCATATGGTAGAATAATTCAATCCTTTTAGAATTCCATTTTGCTAATAAGCACAATAAAATTGTGCTTATTTTAATACCCGGTATTTCTGCTATTATAAGCGAGGACAAAGTAAAAAAACTTAAATACAAATTTAACAACGCAAATTGTTATTATTTTTAAAAGTTTAACTTTCAAGGAGTGTTAATGACAGACAGAACTATTGAATAAAACAAAGAAAAATATACTTATATCAATTTGCTTTTATTTATTATTACAAGAATATTTTTTCTATGAGTACTCTTAATAACACTTAATTAAGCTGACATATGTATATATTTACTTAGCGATTAGAAAATATGGCATTGTTTTTATTTTTCCACAATATAATCGAGATATAATGAATTAAAAGATATACGGATTAAAATGTATTTGTTTATAAAACTAGTCTCTATGTATTGAATCCTATTAAAGCCCTAATTACTCTAGAAAAGATAAGATAACATATCGTTCCAAATTACACAAATAAAATTTTTAACAGGATTATTATCATAGAAATGTATTAACTTACTAGTTGAAACCTGGCGCATCCGTCACGACGCGATGCCAGGAAAAAAAAATACTTTTTATTTTTTTCATTAAATGAAAAACAAAAAATACGGCGACGACAAGATTAATTTTAATAAAATTATCACAGAAGAGATTAAACAGATACATTGGACTCTCCAACTAAAAGAAACAGAAAGATAAAACAAAGGCTCTAATTTTTAACAGTGTGCCAGAGAAGAAGCGCGTAACAATATTTTAATGAATTAACTGAACTACATCCTAAGTTTATAACCCAGATCCATCCATCATGATTGCACAAAAAAACCCGAATTTATTATAAGGTTTGGCATTACTTTGCCAACATCTGGATGTTATTCAATGTTGTGCTATAGATATACATGATTTACCTATTATCTTATTAATTATAAAAATAGATAAGTCATCTATATCAGCAAACATCGATATAAGATTCAATAATCAATAAAGTATCATTGATTATCAAAATGTGTGTGTATATAATATGTTAAACAACATAATAAAAATACAAATAAAAAATATAAAAAATTAAATCTTGAAAAGATTAATTTTAATAAAATTATCACAGAAGAGATTAAACAGATACATTGGACCCTCCAACTAAAAGAAACAAAAGTGTAAAACGCTTTGAGATATTATTTCTTGGATTGTCTTCTATATTGGACGGAATCATCCAACATTGCCTATATTATATCTCGCTTATATTATAACCTCGTACAATAGAAACACAGATCATACGTTGCACAAAAAAAACAAGAATTTATTATAAAATCTTGTATTTTGTTGCTTCTTGCAATGTTTAGAGAAATTTGTGTCCTAAGAAGTAGCCTCTGAGATTTTTTTTAGAATTCAAACGCGTTTTGAACTGTAAAACACTGTTATTAAGAAAAGAAAAACACTGTTATTTCTATAAAGTATTTATTTCTTTAACAAACACTAGGATAATACAATATATTTCGTTCTATGTTAAGTACAGATAATGTCTTTAAGATAAGTTACATAAATACAAAGCTTTCATAAGTTAAAATCGATAATTAAACTTATTACAAATATTTTAAACTTAACTTCAGTTCCTGAATTGCTGCAAGTTTGCAGTGATTTTTACAGATAAAAAAATACATTTCTAATTATGCCTGACTATACTACGTTTCAGATTTGTTCAATAAAATACTGTATTTCACGAATTGAAACATATATTCACATGTTAATATGTGATGTTAATATGATAAAAATGTTAAAAATATATAAATCATCAAAAGAAAAGGTACTTAAATATAATATATTTACTTATTATTTTTACTTACTTATTATTTTAATTTTTTTAATTATAAAAATAGTTAAGTCATCTATATCAGCAAACACCGATATAAGATTCAAAAATCAATGAAGTATCATTGATTATCAAAATGTGTGTGTATATAATATGTTAAACAACATAATAAAAAATATAAAAAATTAAACCTTGAAGATTAATTTTAATAAAATTATCACAGAAGAGATTAAACAGATACATTGGATCCTCTAACTAAAAGAAACAAAAGTGTAAAACGCTTTGAGATATTATTTCTTGGATTTTCTTCTATATTATTGGACGGAATATCCAACATTGCCTATATTATATCCCGAGGACCGTCGTATAATAGAAACATAGATCATACGTTGCACAAAAAAAACAAGAATTTATTATAAAATTTCGTATTTTCTTGCTTTTTGCAATGTTAAGAGAAATTTGTGTCTTAAGAAATATCCTCTGAGAATTTTTTTTTAGAATAGTCAACTGTAACACTGTTATTAATAAAAGAAAAACACTATTATTTCTATAAAGTATTTATTTCTTTAACAAACACTAGGAAAATACAATATATTTCGTTCTATGTTAAGTACAGATAATGTCTTTAAGATAAGTTACATAAATACAAAGCTTTCATAAGTTAAAATCGATAATTAAACTTATTACAAATATTTTAAACTTAACTTCAGTTCCTGAATTGCTGCAAGATTTCAGTGATCCTTACAGATAAAAAAATACAATTTCTAATTATGCCTGACTAAGCTACATTTCAGATTTGTTCAATAAAATACTGTATTTCACGAATTGAAACATATATTCACATGTGAATATGTGATGTTGGGTTTAACATAATAATAAAAATGTTAAAAAAATCTATATAAATCATCAAAGAAAAGGTAGAAAAGGTACTTAAATATAATATAATTTAGGTCTAGTACTATGTACAACTCATTTACTCTGGTTCCCATTCACACACTGATTCGTTCAAATATTTAAACAAAAATATATTGCGAATTATAAATTATAATTTTCGTTGTAAATAATGACCATGCTTTCTTTTATTTCTCTCAAACTAACTAGGGAATTGAAGATGGAACGATATATCATTAGAAACACCTCTAATTCTTTTTTATTTTAGGTTCCATCACTTCAAATCTATAATTAGTTTCATTCATGATTAATATTCTGCAGCACCATAGGTTTTTACAATAGTTTTCTTCTATGAAGCACCAGAACACAGGTCTGGAACAAGTTAAGTTTTAGATCATTTTTCAAAACTAATACTACTATCTAAGAATTTTGGTCAAAAAACTATACATATTTGAGTTTCAAAAAATAAAATTACTTCATTTTATATTTTAATAGCCAGAAAGATAAAACAAATGCTCTAGTTTTTAACAGTGTTCCAGAGAAGAAGTGCGTAACAATATTTTAATGAATTAATTGAACTACATCCTAAGTTTATAACCCAGATCCATCCACCATGATTGCACAAAAAACCCGAATTTATTATAAGGTTTGGCATTACTTTGCCAACATCTGGATGTTATTCAATGTTACGCAATAGATATACATGATTCATCTATTATCTTATTAATTTTAAAAATAGATAAGTCACATATACCAGCAAACATCGATATAAGATTCAATAACCAATGAAGTATCATTGATTATCAAAATGTGTGTGTATAATATGTTAAACAACATAATAAAAATACAAATAAAAAATATAAAAAATTAAACCTTGAAAAGATTAATTTTAATAAAATTATCACAGAAGAGATTAAACAGATACATTGGACCCTCCAACTAAAAGAAACAAAAGTGTAAAACGCTTTGAGATATTATTTCTTGGATTTTCTTCTATATTGGACGGAATATTAAACGTTATATTATATCTCGAGGACCATGGTACAAGAGAAAGCTTCAACAAAAAAAAAATAATACGTTTTAGAATGATTTACATCACTTATTTATAAGTGTCCTCATTTTTTGGAGTAACATCCAAAATAGAGAAAGATTTTAAAACAAAACAATTTGAGAATTAAAAATTGAAATCTTTCTCTAGAAGATACAGGTCCAATCGAGAACATAACATAAAACATACAATACCTACAAAATAATTAATAAGTTAACATTAAGAGGAATAACATTATGATGTGCCCCTATGGGTTCTATGTTCGAACTTGCAACAGCATGTTGGCGAAGTTAGAGTTCGTGAATTTGAAGTGCCTCTTGTCGTAGAACTTCAACAGGGCCGGGCTGTAGGGATGTTTCTCTTTGAGGTGGAGGTAGTGAACTTCAGGTTCGGAGGTTGTGTGGCCGCATTCTTCGCATACGTATACCTGAAAAGAAGAGAGTATGAAAGATTAGTGTTTTTTTAGATTACATATAAATCTTTCTTTAAAAAATGAAATTTTTTTAAAGATTTTAATAGTTATTTTTGTATCTAGTGCGCGAAGTGCTACTTTGGTGATCGATACTTGAATTTTTACACCAAAGTAGTTCGCGTACGAGTTGCAAACAATATTTTTTCTACAAACATTAAAATCGGGATATCCCTATAAATTATTATTATTATATTATTGCTTCGAAAAAAAAGAAGCGTGAGCTTGGAATGTATGTTTTTTTTATTACTGAACATCGTCATCTATTTCCTTTTAGGTCGTTTTAATATTTCGTATTTCTGGTGCTTGCTGCCGCGCCGGCGCCGTGAGGAACTTACTAAAATGACGGTCGATAACATAGAAGATAAAGATTCAATTTTGTTTGTTAAAGTACCCGATACAAAAAAAAACATAGACCAAGTTTTTACAGTGTCAAATTTGAATTGTATTGAGTTTACCGAAAATACACAGCTCTCCGTCCAAGAAATGCTACCAGTGGCAGATTGTTTTTAAAATATCAAAATAAAAGATGTGTTAACCAAGTGGTCGGCATAAATTCTATTGGTAAGATGCCTAGCATGATAGCAAAACACTTGAAGCTGCCAGATTATGAGGCCTACTGGGCAGTGTTTCCGGAGAACTTCAGCCACACTCCTTGCTAATGCAGGGCTGATATATTTAGTTAGGAAGATGGAAATCTTCGACAGTGGCTGAGGGATACGTCGAGGATTCTATCAACAATAAAATTCAAATATCAAATAAAATTTTAGAGTGCGAAATACCGGGATCAAGTACCTCTACATCAAAATTGGATAGTGTCTCAAGTCCCAACCCTCTTTATTATTGGTTCGTGTATTGGTTGCACTAATAATGTTAATATTGTAAATAATAACTAGAATATGCGTTAGTGTTAAGTTTGATATTTGTTATTTGTTTATTCTTGAATATTTCGAAATAAATAATTAGTTATAATTTAGTTCTTCATTTTCCAAAAATCAAAATTCCAAAATCCCATATAATTTACATGCAGTGTGCGAAATAGGCATTTCGCGCATTACTTCGCGCACCGTGTCATGGTAACGTAGGAAAATGAAAAAAAGTGTCAGTTCGCACATTGCTATCAATTCGCAAACCTTGTCATTTTTTGACGTTTGTAGAAAAAAGGTTTTGTAAAATTTGATATTTCTTTTGAAATAATGCTAATAAAATATAATAAATATACAGGGTGGTCCGAACTGTATTCTGAAAACATCGGCAACTTATTTTGCAAATAAAATAAGTAAAAAAGTCCGTATAAATGTCCTAAAATGCTTAGTTTCGGAGATACAGGGTGTAGAAGTATCATTTTTATTTCGATTTTTTCCAAATAATTAATGAAGTAACGTCAATATTTGAAGACGAAGAAATTCATCGTCAAACTTCAATACACAATAATTTTAACATTTTTTGATTAATAATTCGAATAATTCCAATTTATTTTATGAGTTTCCAGATAATTTGTTCAAATTTGAGTTTCTATAAACAAAGAAATGTTTTGAACCTTTTTTCTAGTTTTATCTTAGTAGATATAATTGGATTGGAATTATTCGACTTTTTTTCATTAACTACATGAAAACTACGTTAATAAACTATGTATTGATATTATGAATAATTTTCCTTTGTATGAGGTGTAATAGAGATAATATGATGTAAATATTATATTTAAAGCCATATTTCTTCTGTTTTCTTAAATACATTATGTGTTTTTAAAGCTTCAACTTATTATAAACTCACCTCATACTTTTGATATTTGAAAGTTATATACATAGGTTACATAAACTACACCCTCTACATAAACTACATTAACTACATGTAATGTAGTTTATGTAGTTTTTAAAAGTAACATGTAGTTTTCCGAACCCTGCCGGGGCCATCACTGAGTGTACCCAGACGACAACCATTCGTGCCATAAACTCTGGTACGACTGATATATCGGAGATGGAGAACTAGACTTTGTGAAGCTGTCTCAGATACTGGCTTTTGTCAAAGCCCTGAGACTGTATGATGAGTTATAACTCGTTATAACTCGAGAAAGGGGGACACAGAATAGATCTGTAAGGTCGCTGCAAGGTCATAGATAAAAGTTAACATATCGTAGGCTTTTTGAATATCTTTTTAATACAATAGGTGTCTTTTTATCAAAATTATGTTTAGTATATGAAATACTCCAATTGTTTTTTTTATGGGCGTATATTTTCATGATAAACACAAAAAAATGAGAAAAATCTAATAGGATATTAACCTTGAGACAATTAAATTTGTACGTATTGAACTGAGGGATGAAATTAAGTCACTTGAAGATTTTTTAAACGCACCTTTGTTCTCCTTTCTTTGTATGCGTACTGATGCTGTACTCCATGTACTTTTAGACAATGAGATTCGAGGGAACACCTTTGGGTAAAAGATTTTTCACAAAGTCCACATTTGTACGGCCGCACACCTGAAATACAAAATTAATAAATGAATAATCATCAGTTTAAAAATATTAAAATGTGTTGTTTGTGCTTTTTAACATTTTTACAAAATACTATATAATTTTTTATTTAATAGAGTCCAGTGGTGTAAAAATGAGACATTTTTTAAAACGTTTTGTTTTTTTTCTTAGTTACAACCAATTAAATTCAAAAGTATTTCTTCCATAGAAAGATTTGGTGGTACCGAAACTATTGCAAAATTAGAAATAAACCAAAACTACTCCTAAAATGTCAGTATGTAAAAAAGAGTGTCTCATATTTAACCCATAACAAGTATAAAACTTGGGCATGCTAGGTTAAATGCCTGCTATACTTTATATTAAATGCTGAAGTAAATATGAGACAAAGGATAGAAATTAGAAGAAAATTTTCTTTTTTATTATGAGAACTAAAATAAAAAAAAATCTAAACTAAGTATATTAAATTAAAAACAAGTATATTAAAGTAAAAATGAAGAAAAATATGTAGTTAATAAGTGACATTAAAATATTTAGTGTCATTTAAGGAGTAGAACAAAAAAAAACAAATATACCAATTAACGAACTCAATATTTCTCAAAATATATTGCAAGAGCAAACATCTCCGTAGTACTAGCCCTCCCCTCTTTAAGCCCCCCCCCCTCCCTGCAAATCTGATGGTGGTAATTTTAAAATAATGTATTTTTTTATAAGACATTATTTGTCTCAGTAACTACTGTTTTGATTTATATCAATAAGGTTACATCTCCGCTGTTGACTAAGTTTGGAGCCTTTTTAAGATCTTTTTCTATATACTTGTTTGCTTTCTTTACATTTTTTTTTAATTTTTGAATTATGAAGTTGCGTTTTGAGTTAGCTTCAAAGTTTTAAACCTCGGAACAAAAAATTATACAAATTATGGGAATGATTTCTTAACAATTATTGTTAAATGTTCCGAACAAGAAAACTGACTGAATATAAGTCTTAAGTAGTTTTATTTGAATGGCTCATTTTTACATCACTTGACTCTAGATGGTAACTAAAAATTAATTATTACGAAAGTTAGTAGTTTACTTTATTAGGTGTTCTTACCTGTATGTGTTCTGGTATGTCTTTTGAGGTCGAAAGTGTCGTTGAATCCCTTTCCGCAAAACGTGCACAAATACCTTTTGACGTCAGAGTGACATTTCATGTGTCGGTTGAGGAGACGCTGGAGGGCAAAGGTCTTGTTGCATATCTGTAAACAAAGTAAGAAAAGATAATTTAAAGTAAATTTTATAGACAAAGGAAATATATTTAAATTGGAAATGCTCGGCTTCCCGCAAAAACTTGTAATTTTTTTGGATCGCACCCATTGTAGGTCGCTGTCAGCGGTTGCTAAGCTCTAGGATCTTGTTATTGTTATATTGCTAAGAAAAAGCGCAAACAACGACAGATAGAACTTTCCGAATAAAGAATAAAAGAACTTTTCCTTGTGTCAAAGTAAAAAAACTTACAGAGTAACAAAACATACAAAGATGTGTTTAAAACATTCTTTTTCAAAATTATTATTGTGATTTCGTGAGTTATATTAAAATTTCATTTAAGAAAATCCGTAAAATTATGGAAAAGTGACATCAAAATAACTAAAAAAACTTAAAAAGTGGTTGAAACATCGGTTTTCAAAAAGTGATCCATATCCATATACAGTGTGACCCACTCAAGACCGGGCACCCTCCATAAAATCTGTGTTTATAGTCCGATTTTGATGATTGTTTTTCAAATATAAAGTTTCAAAAAATGTACTTTAGGGCTCAATGTCATGTTATTTCACAAAAAAACAAGGCCTACTTAATAAAGTTTTTGTGGTGAAAAATTTGCAAAATCATATTAGCGATTTTTTTTCAAAAAATTTGAGTACACCCCTACATTCGGCATCCCCCAAAACAGTTCTGTACCAAATTTCGTTTAAAAATATTAATTCTGCAGTTAAATTAAATAATTCCCTATTTTTGCCAATTTAACGATGAGTTATCACGTAACCCTTGAAAAAAACAATCCACAACAATGGGTTTTATTAGCTGTCAATTCTTGCAGCGTAGAATTGAATATTAATTTAATAGCACGCAGAAAAGTGTTGTATCAAGAAATATTATTTGCATTATGGAACAATTAAATATTAGGGATAAAATTGAAATTATTCGTTTAGTGGGTGATAACTATCTTCAAGCAGGAGAAGCTGCCAGAGAATTTAACAACAGACATCCCGACAGACCTGCAGTAAGTAGAAGCACGGTTCAACGAATAAATAGAGTTTTTAATGAAACTGGTTGTGTGTCAAAATACTTACTAAAAAACAGAAGGCCGGAACATCGAATAAATAGGCGGAATGAGGAAATATTAGAATATTTTCGTAACAATCCTCGTGCAAGCATTAGAGGCGCCAGTGTTGATTTGGATATACCAAGGGAAAATATTAGGAGATGTTTGCGAACTAATAAAGTTAAACCCTTTAAACCAAAGATTTTACACACTTTGGAAAACGGAGATGATGTTAGACGATTAGAATTCTGCTTATGGGCTCAAGCAGAGTATTTAAATAATAGAAATTTCTTAAAAGAAATTTTATTTAGTGATGAGGCAACATTTAGTACAAACGGAGTAGTATCCTCTCAAAATTCGCGATTCTGGGCAGTCGAAAACCCTGAATGGGTGATCAATACAAGAAGACAGTATTCTCAGAAATTAAATGTGTGGTGTGGCATACTTGATGATAGAATCATTGGTCCATATTTTTTTGAGAGAAATTTGAATAGTCCAACGTTTTTGAATTTTCTGATTAATGACTTTTGGGATGCAATACATAATTTACCATGCCAAACCCGTTTGAATTTAAAATTTCAATTGGACGGATCACCTGTGCATAACGCGGCAGTTGTCAGGGAATGGTTAAATGAAAATTTTGAAAATAAGTGGATAGGTCGAAATAGCCCGCTAATTGAGTGGCCACCGAGATCCTCGGACCTAACACCCCTTGATTTCTTTCTTTGGGGTTTCTTAAAGCAACAAGTTTACAAGTCTAAACCTCAATCTGTAGATGAATTACGTATTAGAATTACAGAGACTTCTGCAAATATTACACCACAGCAGCTTAGGAATGTAACTGTTAATCTAAGAAAAAGATGCGACAAATGTATTGAACTGAATGGAGGGCTGGTAAAAGCAACTAGAATTATTTGAATATGTTTAACTTATTATTCGGTTATTGTGTTGCTTGTAGTATTTTTATCATTGTTTGTAATAAAACTCGTTGTCGTGGATTGTTTTTTTCAAGGGTTACTTGATAACTTATCGTTAAATTGGCAAAAATAGGGAATTATTTAATTTAACTGCAGAATTATTAATAATTAATATTTTTAAACGAAATTTGGTACAGAACTGTTTTGGGGATGCCGAATGTGGGGGTGTACTCAAATTTTTTGAAAAAATCGCTAATATGATTTTGCAAATTTTTCACCACAAAAACTTTATTAAGTAGGCCTTGTTTTTTGTGAAATAACATGACATTGAGCCCTAAAGTACATTTTTTGAAACTTTATATTTGAAAAAAAAATCATCAAAATCGGACTATAAACACAGATTTTATGGAGGGTGCCCGGTCTTGAGTGGGTCACACTGTATAAGCGATACCAAATAAACTTTTAGGTACGTCATCGAGGGCCCGATTATTAAACTCATTGTTGACAACGGGTTATTACATTATAAGGTCCTTATAGGCACTTTCCAATCTAAACATCTTTCATTTATGTATGGCGAATTTGAAATATGAAACGGATATATGAGTATCATAGTCAAAGCAATTATGAAAATATTAATATAATAAATATTATTTACATAGGTTTAGCAGTTTTGAAACGCAATACGCTTACCAACGAACAGCATTTTATTGTTATTTATATATTCTATTTCTCAAAATCCTTTTTTTACTCTATGTTTTGTACACACGAACAATGACAATGTTTGAAGTTATTATTACTAATAATTTATGTTGTTTTATCTACGTCAGTGAGTTAAGAAGCTCTTAACTCACGCATTTTGGGTACAATAATATAATAGCATAGTTAAGTACAATAATTTTTAAAAGTCATTGTGTGTTTTTATAGTTAGACGTAGATAAAATATTGTACAATACACGCGAATTAACTCCATTAAGATAGTTGTGTGGTTACACAACTCGTGCTATGAACTCGTGCAACTTTCACATGCGTATTTTAATGATGCTGATAACTCACTTGTTTCGTAAATATCTATTACACGTTTTTAAATGCATTTGACACCAAATATACCCAAGAAAAACAGGAATACACTAAACTAGTAACTGCTAAATTGATAAAAGATATTCACTTACACTTACCTTACAACAGAATGTTGTTTGGCCATCCTCGGTGGTCACTGAGGCAACTTTGGCCTTGTCTTCCGTCCTGGGTCCCTGTCTGACGGTTTCTTGGTTAGCCAGTGGGTTTTTGATTCCATGGCCGCCATTGACGAATTCGAGCTGGACTTCGCTAGGCAGGCCGAGCTGTAAGAGAAACTGTGAAATAAAAACACGCTGTGGTTGAGTGTGTTTCTATTAAAATCAAGATAGATGGACAAGTACAACATAATTTGTTAATTTCAAATTATTATTGTAAATAAATATAATAGCTCCTATAGGTATCTTTGTAGAATTATTTTTTTAAGTATAAGTTTTTATTGATTTTAATTAATCTAGGTATCTTTACGTTTTATTTTGATATCCAGAAACTTTTTAACCTAACCAAAAACAATTTTTTAGATTTTTTTACGAATTCTCTATGTAAAAAATATTTCGACAAACTCTTAGAAACGTTCAGTATAAGAAAATTAACTTTTGGAAAAGTATTTAACTAATTATTTTTAAAATACTATAGTTAAACCGTTTCATAGAAATTTAAGAATTTCAGAGAATTACAACGTAAACGAATGTCATATTTATAATTTGCATGAATAATTATAAATATATGCATTAGAAAATAAGCAAATTTTGATTTGGGCAGTGTTGTTATTTTTACACGCGTTTATGCTATAATATCTAACAATTTGTGTGCATTATGTGTTTCTGTTTTATATTTTCTCTCTCTATTTAAGAATAATAATTTTTATAGACAGAGGTATAGCTCTCCTAAATGTAGCTTATAAAGTACTGGCAACATATACAGGGTGGTCCGAACTGTATTCCGGAAACTTCGGCAGCATATTCTGCAGATAAAAATAAGTAAAAATGTTCGTATAGATGTATGTCCAAAAATGCTTAGTTTCGGAGATACAGGGCGTAGAAGTTTCATTTTTTATTTCGATTTTTTTCAAATAATTTCTGAAGTAACGTCAATATTTGGATGAAAATTGGTGTCTGGAGATTTTTTGATATGAGAAATTTGATTTTGATGTCAATATGACTCCTACTAATAGAGGGCGCCACCTACATATTTTTTAACTTAACTTTTCGTCCGTATTTGTATAAAACTACTGCGTAAAAAATATACATTTACGACGTTTTTCACGTGAAAAAGGTCTCTTGGTAAAAATCGCTACGAGTAATGGTTTTCGAGATATTTGGAATTGAAATTATCAATACCTGTCATCGTTGACATAAATTAAACATGTTTACTAAATAGTTATTAGACTGAAATCATAAATTTGAACTAAAAGTTCAACAGTAACTGTTTTATCGTCATTTTTTGCAGAAAAATTATGATTAATTTTAAAAAAATAAAAATTTCCCAAATTTATTATTTCAGTGAATTACCTATCTAACTCAAAGTGTTTATTTTTCGTCAATAATGACATGTATTGTCTATTTCCATTCTAAATATTTTAAGAACTGTTGCTTGTAGCGATTTTTACAAAGAGATATTTTTTGCGTAAAAACTCACAGATGTATAATTTTTCGCTCCGTAGTTTTATACAGGTACGGACAAAAAGTTATTACGCTTCAAAACAGTTAAGACACATGTAGGTAGTGCCCTCTACTAGTAGGAGTCATATTGACACCAAAATCAAATTTCTCATGTCAAAAAACTCCCAGACACCAATTTTAATCCAAATATTGACGTTACTTCAGAAATTATTTAGAAAAAATCGAAATAAAAATGAAACTTCTACACCCTGTATTTCTGAAAGTAAGAATTTTAGGACATACATTTATACGAACTTTTTTACTTATTTTTATCTGCAGAATATGCTGCCGAAGTTTCTGGAATACAGTTCGGACCACCCTGTATATAAAAGAAATATTAGTGGAGGAGGTTGATGAGAAAATTGGAGTGTACCAATGTGAATTTGGGAAAGGAAGAAGAACCGTTGACAAAATATTTAACCTTAGAGAAATACAAGCGGAGAGTTACGAATACGGAAAACAGATAATGCTTATATTTATCGACTTATACCAGCAGGCATATGACAAAGTTAGAAGGACCGAGATGTTTAGAGCTTTAACAGAATTAGGGGTAGCAAGAAACTGACCAAGATGAATTGAGACATGAAGTCAAAGTGAGACGAGTCAAAGACAATAAATGAAGTCAAAGTAAACAAGAAAACCACGGAAAATTTTATAATCAGGGACGGATAAAGACAGGGGGATCCACTATCTCCACTACAGTTTACAGTAGTCTCCACTGTTTAGTGTAGTATTAGAAAAAGTTCTAAAAAAAATGCGGGAATCAACAGAGAGGACCTTTTGTATACAAAACGACACCAATGGTTAGCCTTTGCAGATGATTTAGTTATCTTAGTTATCTCTATCAAAGAGATTGAAAAGATCTGATATTGGTGACCAAAAAACTAGAACATCAGGCGTATAAAGTAGGCTTAGTGTTTAATGAGAAGAAAACTAAGTTTATGGAGTGGTCAGGTAGGGATTTTGAGAAGAAAAGATGTCTACAAATAGATTCTGAGAGAGGGAAACGATACAAATTTAAGGAAGTAGATACGTTCGCATATCTAGGAACCGTATATATATAAGGAAACCAAATGTAACTCAGGAAATTGTGACATGAATAATGGCAGGAAATAGATGTGTTAGCGCACCACAGAAAATTATTAAGAGTAAAAACATCTCTAGAAGCTTAAAAATCAGTATGTACCAAATAGTGATACGACCAATAGTATGCATGTGAAACGTGAACGTTCAATCCAACGGAAAATTGGAGGGAGAGAAAAATACTGATGAAGATTTTTGGAGTAAAGAAGATAGACAACATATGCACGAGAAGAGCAAATGAAGAATTAAAGCAACTATATCGGGCACCAAGTATAACGGAAGTAGCAAGACCGCAAAGATTGAGATGGCTGGGACACATAGAAAGAATGGCTGAGAGTTTCTAGAATGATAATGAGACGTGAAATAGGTGGAAACAGAAGGAGGGGTAGAAGAGGACTTGAGAAGGATAAGAGTGGATGGGTGGACATAAAGGCAAAAGTATAAAGGCAAAAGACAGAAATAAGTGGAGAAAGATAACCAATCAAGTGATGAGCCTTTTAGGATTTTAGAGCTACTATTATAATTTTTGAAAAAATAAAAAATATTGTTTTTTAATAGAACAAGCCATTTACATATTTTCTTATTTTTAAAACGGTTCAATTCGGTCGGAATTTTGGGTTGATTTAGTCGGTTTGGTGGAAAATCGTTCCGTGTGTTGGCTTTATTGACTTCCTATGCACATAATAGCAATATGCGTATCATATCCAGAACTATTATGAACACAAAATAGAAATTAGTTTTTAGTAAATTACAGCATAAACTCATGTCAATTGTTCTCTCTATTTCCCCGAGCATTGCCTGCATCGCGACTTGCTTACCCTCCGCCGCTGGACATTTACCCTGCCCTGCAGGGACGGCGCGACCGACGCCGCCTCCCCCGCCGAAGCGGCCGAGACCCTTCTACCCCCGCCACTCACACTTCCTGCCGCTGCCGCCGCCGCTGGTGGACTCAAGGTGCCGCCGCCGCTGTCGCCGTCCAGGGAGCAGGACGCCGCGCCCGGACTGGGTAGAGACATCGCGGTGGGCGAGTCCAGGTCCAGAGCGCTACCTGGAAAAGAGAAGAGATAGGGGGTTATTGTTGAAGTATTTAATTATTTATTAAATGTTAGCAAGTAATAATGATTAAAATATAAAAGATATACAGGGTGTCCCAGGCTGAGCGTGCATTAGAAGTTTCTAGAGAACTACAACATCTAGCTCGGAGATTTTTTGCACATCATAGTTTCACAACGAGATATATCGATTAAAAATATTTTCAATATGGCCGCACTTCCGGAAATACCGGAAGTTGACAACAACTTTCTTATTTTAAATGAATGCCCCCATTTTTTATTACATACTTAAATTCTATATAAAATTTTATAAATTTTGATATTAAATACTCTACGTCTAACTCTGACCACCGTTTTTGAGAAAAAAAATATTTAAAATTTTTGAACGAAAAAAACTGACAATAAAGGAGAGAATCAACACACAACTTACCATTAAAACTTAACGTAGGTGACAACATTTGCTGCTGTTGCATTTGAACTTGGAGCGAATCATTAGAGGGAGTGATCGACGATGAGTATGGAGGTAATGATTCTTGGTACATCTTGGAGAACTGCGAGTGGTTGTACCCCGCCCTACCTGAGTCGTACTGGTTGCGGTTGAGCATTTGTTCGTTGAAGGAATCGATGTTCTGATCAACCTGGTGAAAAAGAAGATATTTCTTTATGCCATATGATTTGTAAAGGAAAATATTGATATACAGAGATATTTAAAATTGAATTTATGGTATGCCATCATCAGTGTAGATCATTAGAAAACACTTACAATTCTGTCTGAAGTGTTCTGGTGCACACTTTCTAGTGTTACAAATGCTTTTTTACATTTTATTACATTAATAATGTTTAATTGACTAAGTATGACTAAAACTAAAAGAATTTTGGACTTCCGTTGTCTTTATTAATGTTTGATTAACACAACGTAAATAAAAATAAAAAATAAAAATAAAAAAGGAAACAAAAAAAGGAACTAAAAAAACAAAGACAATGGAAGTATATATCACACTACTTAAACTAAAAATCATTGAAAAAATATATAAATAGTTAATTTTACACACCTGAAGTTGTGTGGATTCTGTACTGGGACTATGAATATTACTGCTGACAACTTCATCACTGTCGGTGTTGTCTTCGTTGGGTAATCTTTGCAAAAACGAAGATAGGTCAGTGGCGTCCGAAAGACTTTCTAGCAGGGCGTGTTCTGCACTACTAGAAAAGGTCAGAGTAGCGGTAAATTGTAAAGGATCCACCTGCAAAATAAAAATGTTACAAAGATTTTATTTCATTCAATAGTGTGCTTATTTAAGCATAGAAAATAGAGACTATTTATAATATCTGATCAAGGGCGTCGTTACTAAAAGATACACTCAGATGCAAAAAAAAACGCAAAGGAGAAATTTTTGGTCAAATTTAAAGTGTTATATTTTTGTTATTTTTAGCCCTATTTTCAAGAATTTTTTAGCAAGCTGTATATAATTGTTTCAACTTTTATCCGTAAAATCAGTTTTTTATAAACTTTAGTATTTGGCATATTATACAGGGTTAATCGGAGGGTTGTTTTTTTACCTTAACTTTAAAACAGCTTTTGCAATAATGTCATGTGTGAATTTTCCTAAAATATAATTTTACGGTGAGAACCATGTCTTCTGAGCATTTTGTTTTTTGGAGCATGTTAATACATGCCTTGGTTAATTCTTAAGAGCGAAATGAGCTTGCCACCAACAATTTGAAATGTTTTCGATTATCATTTCTTTTTTGAAGTTATTTTTCAATGTAACAAGGCGGCTTTGATGATTATTGTAAACTATATCTAACTATGAACTGCCCATCATATTCGACGTTTGGCAAATGCTCGGTAGGAGTGTAAGAGATCGTGAAGCAGCACCATCTTCATTAAATAAACTTCGCTTGGTCTTTAAAGAAGAATGAGAAAACATAACGCATTGTGATATATGCAGCCTCAATGACAGTATGAATGGACGTATACAGGCAGTTATAGCAGTCAAAGGCGGCAATACAAAGTATTAGGGTATTTTTTCACAATTTTTTTTCTGTTTGTTTACTTGAGTATTACAGAGGTTTTCTTTAATATGTTATTTCTGTTATCGTTATTAATGTTTATAAAAACCCGGACTATATATTGTTAGTCTTTAAAGTTTTTTTTTATTTTGTATAGAGTATCCAATGCAGTGTAATATAACGTTACGATAATAGTCACCAAAACCATCTCGTCATATTAAAAAATTACATCAAAAAGTAACGATAATTAAAAAAAATGCAAATTGATCGTCATCAGTTGACTTCGCTCTTAAAAATTAACCAAAGCATGTATTGACATGAATCAAAAAACAAAATGCTTAGGAGTCATGATTCTGGCCGTTATATAACAAACATTATATTTTAGGAAAATTTACAGACGAAATTATTCCACAGGGTGTTTTAAAGTAAGGGTAAAAAACAACCCCTCGACTGTACAACAACCCCTGTATAATATGCCAAATACTAAAGTTTATAAAAAGCTGAGTTTACGAATTAAAGTTGATATAATTATATATAGCTTATACTAAAAAATTCTTGAAAATAGGGCTAAATACAAAAATATAACCTTTAAATTTGACCAAAAAATTCTCCGTTGCGTTTTTTTGCATCTGAGTGTGTTTAGACAGATTTAAATATTTTATATGAATCGGGGTGCACTGATAGTACTCATGAGTAGATATCATGTTTTAGAAGACGATCTGGCATTTTCGAAACTGGTTTTATATGGAACTTGTTTGGAGCAGGTATAGTTCATATGCTATTCTGTTCCAGTTGCATCTGTTCCAGAACACTGCCACACCAAACAGAAGTTAGTGGTGATGATAGGACAACAAGGATTGTTGCATTTATGAGAAAAGAATTGGGTAGCATAATCTACGTTTTGGAACAGGTATCTTCTGGAACTGGAACAGGTTGTACCTGTTACTGTGAATTAGAACGCCACTGATAAAGCGGAATTTAAGTCGGCCATTCTAGGACCCCGTCGCGTTCGATCTAAGATTTTTGATATGCTCCTTCCTTAATATTTTTAGTCAAAGCAGGCGAGACACAATAAGTCAATTTTACTCCCAGTAGAATATGCTATTTTTTACACGTCACAAATAATTTTTATACAATTTCAAGCGTTCCAAATAATATAAAAATATTTAAAAATTATAGCTTGTATGTAATTATATATCGAGAAACTACGGTTACGCTCCTTGAATTTGACACTTTATGTCAGTTTAATAATATATTTTCGCAGTTTTATGCTTAGATGTAAAAGTGCTTTACATTTATGCCCAGGCGTTAAAATGACTTTTTTATACTGTCAATCACGTCGCAAAAATTTACTTTTTGTGACGTTTGAAAAAAATACTTTTAAGAATACCAAAAAAAGCATTAAAAAGGCTGCACTACTGAGAACTTTTTAACACGTCTAGGAAAGAGCCTTGTACAATTTTCTGTATGGTACTCGAATTAATCACAGCAGGGCTGTAGTGATATAAATAATATTGATTAAATAAAAATTAACTTACGACTGCTCCAGTGACCATGTCTACCATCATGCTCTCGTCGTACCCTGAGTATCCATTGGGAAGTAGTTGGTTCATGGGATCCATTTTGTTTTCGTACAGATCCAGGTCAGTCTCGTCTTTCATGACAATGCCGTACGAGGCATTTTGTAACGTTGAGTATTGTTTCGGCGATGATTGACCGCTAACATTGAGGTTGGCCAAATCCTTAAAAAATATTTATTTTTCAATTTAAGAGTTAATCATTTTTACTTCAATAAAACATTCGATATGAGAGTATGAGAGAGAATCCATATTCATTGTAATAAGTTTTTAAGGTAAGGTATTTAGAGTTTTTAGTGTAGTAAAAAAAAAGGATTAATTATACAGGGCGAGTCTTAAATAAGTGCAAATATTTTTAGGGGTAATATATTTCGATCCCAGAAACACGATTATGATTTTTTTTCGCGAATTTTTTTTTTGAAAATTTGGATTTTTTTGAAAAAAATTTTGATTTTTTTTTTAGTTTTTAGTTAAATTGATAATATGCCAACATAGGTAGTAGATTAAATTTACAAGAAAGAACAGCTAGAAAAGATCCAGTGGTTTTCAAAATTTAAGCAAAAAACATTTTTTTGGAAATTTTCAAAGTAAAATAACTCGGTTATTTTAGACTTATTTGAAAAACGGTAAAGAAAAATTATATTTCTTTTATCGAGATCAACCATCCCTGAAAATATTTGCACTTGTTTAAGACTCACCCTGTATAATAACTACTTTGTCTTAGTAAATTCAATAATTGCAAATACATACAAAGCTTTATATACAGTAGTCTAGTTTTAGGAAAAACAAAATATCACTTAATTAAATCTGTTTAAAAAGAGTCAACATGTTTTTGTTTTTACGTTATTAAGTTCATACACGTGTTTTGATTCATTCTAAACACTAATATAGAATGAATAAGTAATTTTGTTTACTTCTTCTCTTCTAATGTATAATATATTTAGACCATGTCTTTTTATCCAAGATAAAAAGTATTGTAGTTTGGTTGCTGTCTATATCATGGCCAAAACAAAGCTTTAAGAACTAAAAAATACTTTTTGTATAAGAACGTTGTGTCCAGTTAGGTTAGGACAGACTTCACCCAGACGAATTCTCTGAATGAGTATGAAATGCATTTTTTACAATTAATATTTATTAAAAATTTATTAAATTTTTCTGATAAATATTATACGTTAGATTCATTTTTCTTCAATTTATTAGAGGTTTATTTTTTTGTTAAAAAGAATTTTTCGGGGTTAAGATGTTGTGTTTATCTACAATTTAGCTTAACCTATTAAAACTTTTAATACATTTTGTTAGATCATGCTTTCTTTTTAGAAGTTTAATAGCCAAATTAATAAAGTTTGGACAGTTTCATTTAATGAATTTTTTTTAATATCAGTAGTATATTTACAGAGCTTGGATGCTGCGCGCGTCTCACTTAACCGCTGTTTGGAACGTACCAATTGATTTAAAATCGGTTGATACGATCCAAGGCGGGCGTCCAAGTGAGAAGCGCGCATCGTCGAAGTATATTTGAGCCAAGTACACTACTGAATTTGTCAACTAGGCTTTAAGCGGGGATCATTTTTATATAGTATTCATATTCATAACTATTAAAACAATCTTTAGTTAAACAACTTGTTTCCTTACCTGTCCTGTGTCACAGTCCATATTTTGCTGACTCGACAAGAGATAAGATGAGGTGAAATTTCCGTTGGCATTATAACCATTTCCATTATTTCCACTTTTGAGAGATTCATAAAATGGAGGTAGAGAGCCTACAAAAGACACAATTCAGTGTAATGTGCATAAAGTTAGACTTTAATATTATTTATATTTAGAAAAGCATTGGAAACTTCTGTATACTTGTTGATTTTATGCTTTCAAAGTAAAGCAATATTTTAGTTTTATATAAGATTTGAACAAGAGTTAAAGCCAAAGTATCTTACCTGTAGGTGGACTGCTTGGTCCGTAGTTTTGTCTTCCATCTCTTCCAGGATTCATACCGCCACCACCAGTTCCACCTCCTATACTACCTCCTCCACTTCCTCCTCCCGATCCACCATTGAAATTAATGGATCCCCCACCACTAGAGCCACCCGAGTTTCCATTGTTGCCTGCAGAACCACCCCCAGATGATGTACGTCCTGAAAACGATAAATGGATTAATATCAGGAAGATTTTTCTATTGTCTACTGTAACGCAACAAATAATTTTGATTATACGTTAAATGGCAATTATAAACTAAAAGAGAGATGACAAAAAAAATGAAAGAAGAGTTTCATATATCTCAGGATCATCTTAATAGTGAACTGTCGAAAATTTCAGCCAAAGACATATTGAAATTCAAATTGAAATGTTTGTTCCTCAGGCTCAGAGACACGAGTAAACAATGAGTAAGTAACATGACATGAGTAAATTACAGTGGTTGTAGTCTTTTCTAGTAGCATTACAAATGATATGAAAAACTAGTGGCTAAGTGAAAGGAAAAATAGTGCATGAAGAGACATTTTTTACGTAAAAAGTCACGGAGATGTATATTTTCTCGCTAAGTAGGTTTTATACAGGTACGGACGAAAAGTTATTACTCTTCAAAACAGTTAAAACACATCGGTGGCGCCCCCTACAAATGGAGTCATGTTGATAAAAATCAAATCTTTCATGTCAAAAAACTCCCAGAAGCCAATTTTCATCCAAATATTGACGTTACGACAGAAATTGTTTGGAAAAAATCGAAATAAAAATGAAACTTCTAACCTGTATCTCCGAAACTAAGCATTTTGGGACATACATTTATACGAACTTCTTTACATATTTTTATCTGAAGAATATGCTGCCGAAGTTTCCGGAATACAGTTCGGACAACCCTGTATATTTTTTCACTCAGTAGTTTAATACAGGTATCTACATACATACGAAAAGTTATTATTTTTCAAAACAGTTAAAAAACATGAAGGTGGCGCTCTCTACCATTTCTCATTCGAATTTCTCATTCAAAGCATAAAAAGCATATTCTGTAACTACTGAAACAAGACAATATTGTACTGTCAAATTTGACACATGAAGGGCAGGGTTTTGTATTATTTTTCCAAAATTTCGAAAGTATCTGTAAGGCAATAATATTTCCTTACAGTACAAATATAAATATTTTTTTAACAGTTATTTACCATTGTCCGGCAACAACTAGATGTAAGGAAATTTTGATATTTTCTGTCACAAATTGTATCAAAAATAGAGAGATAACAATAACAGAAAAAAAATGCAAGGAATAATACTGAAAAACACTTTATGGAAATATTTCAACTATCCGGGTATACATTTTAAATAAAAAAAAAACACTATTTACCATGGCCCGCAGCAGCCGAAGTCACGATGGGCAGTTTTCCCACGATCGACCGCACATTAATTAGCGGTTTGTTCACTTTGGAACAGTGCGACCTGCGCTGTTCGCGCTGTCTTCTTTCCTCCTCTTCGTTTTCCACCTCGCCTTTCCTCTTAGGGATGTGGTAGTCGATGGGCTGGTCCTGTTCCGGTTCCGGATGGATTACGGAACTTGGCAATCGAACGTCTAGGTAATGAAAAGAATAATCAAACTTACAAACTTTTATTTCAAACATAGTTTATAGTATATACAGTATGGTTCAAAAATAAGAGGATATTGTTGGAAGTTTACTTATTTTTTTGCAAATTTTGACAAACGTTTTTTTCAAGAATTCAATAAAAATATGCAATTTTGCACAAATATTTTCAGTTACATAATAGTAAAGCTGTAAGAAGAGAATTTTGAAAACATATCCCATCGGGGGTGATATAGGTGAAAGTAAAGTTTATATGAATATTTGTTACTATCTGGAGTCATCTGGACAAAAAGTAAGTATAACATTTTTCACAAAGATTCTTTAAGTGACGTAACTGATCAATTTTTGAAAAAAATCTGTTTGCAAACCAAATGACTTTTTTGAGGAAAATCAGCATTATTAGGAGAAACAACACCAGCTAACGATTACTAACAAAGTCATTACAATACAGAAGCACTAATTTTACACCAAATTTAATCCAATCGGTAAATCCAAGGTAGAGTTCTCAAGATTTGAAAATAAAAACGTTTTACCATCTTCCTCATCTATATTTTTGAAAATAGACAAAAAAAGGTGTAAAGCAAAAAAGTTCGGAAATGGTTGAAGAAATCAGTGTTTATATTTGCTTCATTTAAGCCTTACCTGTGTCCTCTTCTCTTTTTGTTGTCGCTTTTGGAGTTCTTTGTATTACAGAAAAATGTCTGATTGGTGCTAGGTTTTGTGGCTTGACGCAATCTTCTTTGGGTTTTGGGCTTGTAGGTAATGTAACCTGTCGTTAACGAAAAAAAAAACGAACAATTTAATATAGTTATTAAGAAAAATAGTCTTTATCCTAAAAAGTAATTTAAAAAAATATTAACAACATAATATAACGGGTCCGTCTCAGTGGCGCATCCTTATAAGTTTTTTTTTCAGATAAAAAAAAATGAGATTTGGTATGTTAATATATGACATAAATTAGGATTGATTGACGTATTCAATTGTTTTCGGACACTTCCTGTTTCACCGGAAAATACTACAACTTTTGATTTTTAAATGACACCCTTGGTATTAGCATCTGTCACCTTTTGACATTTCCAATTAAAAAAAATAGCATTTTAAATTATAATTTAGAGTGGCAGGGTCATAAATGTAACGACAATTTAACGACAAAACCAAACCAAATAATTCGTAAAAAAATTCTTTTTCCAATATGTTAATGAACCACCTTTGTTCCATTTGAAAAAATTGGGATATGATTAAAAATACGATTTGGGCATCTTTTAACCAACCAGGACAAGACACGGAAAATATTAGACGATCAAATCTATTTTTCTAAGACTCCTTGATTAAAAATTAGTGTTTTTAACACAGCCATGGCACTCTAGATTCAAATATAAAATACAATTTTTTTAAGCTAGGATGTCAAAATTTGACATGGATGTGAAAATTTATATTCCGAGTGTCATTTTCTATCGAATAAAGTAAAAACATTCGGAGGGTACTACTTAAAAATCAAAAGTTGTAGTCATTTCCGGTGAAACAGGAAGTGACCGAAAATAATTGAATACGTCAATCAATCCTAATTTATCTCACATACCAAATCTCGTTTTTTTATCTGAAAAAATAAAAAAGTTATAAAGGAGAGCCACTTTTGAGACTAAATGACATTTTAAATGACATGTTCTAAATTAAATTATTAAAAAATATGCCAACATAAAAATAATTATTCATGACATTTTTCAAAATCGTTGACATGAAATCTTAAAGAATAACGAAAAAATCAAGAAAGGTGAACTTAGAAAGAGAACAACAAACGATTAACAACTTTCTTACGTAAATTACCCAGATATATTTTCTTACCTTGCTAGAAGGAACAATTGGTGCGTACTCTTTTCTTTCGGCACGCGTGAGTACATGACCTCTACTTCCGTAAGGAACATCGCCTCCAAGAATTGAAGAGATGAACCTTCGTGGAGGTACGGTTTCTGTGAGCTTCTTTACCTCTTCTGTAGGTGTGGGCGATTTTGATTTGGGATTCTCGTCTAGTTTTTCTTTATCTGAAACAAAAATAAAAATCTTAAGTATGGTTTCATTTAATAATGAATTTGTTTTTTTTAATAATTTTAGTAAAACTTATAATTATAGTAAAAATTGTTCTTCTTTTGCTATATTCATTGTTTGTTTATGTGTGAATTAGAATAATAAACAAAAATTTGTTCTGGAAGCATGAAATCTGGCACAAAGATTCCTTAAGTGTCTAAGTGAGTAATTGTTTGCAGTTTTGGGTTTGCACAAAAAGCTGATGAATATAGAATATAAAAAACAAAAAACAAAAAGAAATAATATAATAATGATTGACATTTCTCTTCCTTCCCAACATCTGTTGTTTCTGCCTACTATCCATTTTGATATTAAATTAATTGATTTCATATAGTCACCATTCAATAATTCTTTACCGACTAACGAAACATTTCCGCTTATGTTATATCGTTGCTAAAAAAGACATTATTAACTTAAATAAAACCTTGTCTGTGAGCAATTATAAACAGCAAATATTAATGTAAATTTACCGTTGACATTTTGCAGGAATGTCAGAACATAACGTACGTTCGCCAATATAAAATCTAGAAATATATATTCGCAATAATAAAGTCTATATTTAGTGGTGACAAATACTCGTTACTATGAACGTATCATTTTTGGACAATTTGAATAGATTTTTTTTCAGTTCATTGTCCCATCCTTGAATTCGATCGTGGACCGGCACCATGAAAACAATTCGAAAATTTACCAAAATAAACATAGCTACAGCGTATATTTCTACGTTTGTTCCAGCACAGAACTATTTGTAGCGTTCTAAAACGGTAATTGGGATCATCGGTATGGTGTTTGTAAGCATATGTTGACTTGGACAGTTGACTCTAACTATACCAAAATTAAATGCGGATTGGAACCGTTTTTGAATTGATCTTAAAATCAAAATCCGACGATCTTTAAGGCTGTCGGATGGCTGTAATGTTCTACAAGCAGAGGTTTCCGTCATAAAGGAAGCGGATAGTTGTATACGAGAGAAAATCGCTGATAGACCAATAGGAAATATCGTGATATAATCTGACAGCTTGGGCGCTTTAAGAAGCATCACCATGCAATCGGTGAGATCGAAAACTGTGATGGGCTGCCGAGAAGCACTGTCCTGGCTGCGTCAAGGCGGGGCTACTTTGTGCTGGGTGCCAGGCCACAGCAATGTGATGGACAACCAAGAAGCAGACAGGTTCCTTAAAGGGAGGACCAGGTGAGAGGCCGTGGCAGATGACCCACCATTTGTGACGATCAACGCGCTGAAGGAAGATATAGGAACTACCATCAAGGCCAAACAGCAAGAGACGTGACAACACCGTGAGGACTGCGCTACAGCTCCAAGATTGTGGCCAGTGGCAGATAGCAAAAAGACAAAACAACTACTAGAGCACAAAAAGAACCTAGCACGCATAACTGTAGGTGTCATCACTGGAAACTGCCCCACGAGGGTAAACCTCGTGAGATGGAAGATTTCCAACGACGACTACTGCAGAGAATGCAGAGAGAAAGAAGAAACCATTCAGCATCTGCTGTGTCACTGTCCGGCACTGGAATACCGACGCTTAAAAACTTTAGAACAAGGTTTTTTGGAGGGACTAGAGCAAGCAGCAGAAGGCAACATCAACGACATCGTGAACTTTGCATAGAGCTGGAAGTGCTTTAACGCAAAGAAATAATGAGAGGAAGGTTTGGTACAATAATACAGGGGAATTGCAATGGGCCCAAGGCCTCCGAGTGAGGGATCAAACATGATCCAAAACCCAAGCAACCTAACCTAACCTAGAATCAAATTGAAAATCTAATTTTTAATTATTAATATAGGTTAGATATATTTTCGATTATATTATATTCGATTCCTGTATTTTCTTAGATTTATTTACGGATTATTGAATTGATTTATTTTTTAATTAATACGAAATCAACTTTGCTTTATTAAACAAAAGTTTCAAATCATCTTCACTGGCATCAACGTGCCCAATATAAGTGTCACTCATCATATTTAGTACAAATATATAAAAATATGTATTTAAAATATATATAAAAACGATAAATACCAAATAAAAGTTGAGGAATCAGCAAATTAGAAACAGAAAATAGCTAAAGAAATAATAGAAAAACAATAATCAGGTGAGTTCTTTTGATTCCTGCTTTTAGGTTGGTATCGAAATCACCATTCCAAATACGGTTCACCAACGATTGCAATTATTGTTGATGGAACACAAGAGTTATCGTCCGTAGATATTCTCTCGTTCACTGAACGCATTTTCTCTACATCGTACCTAGAACGGTTTCCTGCTATGTTGGAACAAACCTCTTGGTTTCAGTTCAACAACCATCCTTGATTTTTTAAAATCCTCGGAAATTTTTGCTGAATTATTTATCGGATTGGACGGTTGTTGTTTGTTTTGTGTCACTCTCACTTTCGCATTGATTGAATCTTATTTACTGTGTTTCATAAAATACGGTAATGTAGAGTTTGATCCGTGGCGTGTATTTTTTACATTTATTTAAACCCAGAGGAGACCCATGCAGAAAGAGATCTCAAACTCTATCAAGGAGGCCATTCCTGCAGACTGCAGACTCTACGATAAAGATCCTGCAACAGCAGAGCACATAATATGCCACTGCGATCCTATGGGTCGTAAGCGATGCTTCCCAAGGATACTATAAAGTTATACTAAAGGTCAGCATTTCTGGTCTTGGGTGCCGACTTTCGTGTGTATAAAGAATACGACCAACACGCTTAGTAAAATAAGATGTACTGAATAAAGACAGAAGGCAAGTATTTTTCCAAGCGCATGGAATCTAGCGTCAAATTAAGTGATTATATAATAAATACTTCTTATTTTTCTCTCTCCGACTTACTAGATTGCCATAGCGATTCACTCCTATACATGTAAACGCCGACCAAAAGTTTCACTTGCCAGCAGGGTATAAGGATTGTTCGATCCCTATACTTCCTGTACTCTCAGTTTTTCTACGTCATCTAGGGAACTAGTTGCATTTAGCGCTAAAGATTTATATTATAAGAGTTATAAAATATTTAGGAAGGTATTTAGAAGATTTGTATATTTTATTTATGTTCGTTTTATATTAATATATACCTAAGCTTATTATATTACAGATATCACTTAAAATATATTAAACTTAACTTTACATAGTTTTCATTTCTGCCCGTTATGTCTTGCATTTATAAACAAATTAATTTATTTACGTTAGTGCCAGAGAATATACTACTTTAATACCATAGTTTAGTACATAAAATACCCAGAGTTAGTAAGTAATAGTCAAAAATAGTATATTGAGTTTTAATAGGAGTAAAAATGACACTTTTTATAGAGAGGTTGTAAGTTTGACGGACGAGCAGAGGTTGATCAGTCCTTTAGAATATACAAAGAAGAAGTTCGTTCAAACCTCGAAAGGTTAAAGAAAAATAATATATTTTGTTTGTTTTTAAGAACATTGGTAAACCGTTTTTCTTGAAATCTGGTATTCTTGGTAGTAAAAATTTTTTGGAAATCGTTTTAGATTTTTGTTTAAAAACATAATTTCTTGATAATATCGCAACATAGGTATTTGATTAAATTTACAAGAAAGAAAATCCAGAAAAGATTCAGTGGTTCTCAAAATTTTAGCAAAAAATATTTTTCTTGGAAATTTTCAAAGTAAAATAACTCCGTTATTTTGGACTTATTTGAAAAACGATAAAAAATATGTGTCATTTATCGAGATCTACCACCCCTTAAAATACTTGCACTTATTTCTGGGACACCCTGTATAGTCCTAGATCTACATTTACCTATTACTTTGAAGAAGTAATACCTTCAATTTGGTCATTAAAAGTGACAAATATATGAGCCTTAATCATCGTCAATTTTAATTGGAACACCAGAAGTAAAAATGCAAATTTGCCGATTTAAAATCCATTTATTTTCTCATTTGCATCTTCCACATCCTTTTTTTTATCACATTCTTTGATTAAAGGCGCTTTAATGATATTATTGTCATCATTATCCAGCTGTGGTTAGAACGACCAAAAGAAATATTGCGGTTTGGGAATTATTCATTGATTTTTCTCACACTTATGTAATGGAAGCCGAGTATTCTAGCCGCTAGCCGCAGATGCTAGTCATCTTGAAATAATGCCTACCGCGTATAAAGCAATTAGCAGAACGATTGTACGGATTGTTTAAACATGAGTGATATGTACAGAGTGTCCCGAATACGAGCCTCATCACTGGAATCTCGGAAACTTGGTGAAAGTTTCGCAATTTGATGCTTATCAAAATATGTACCACACATTGTTTATAAATTTCCGAAGAATTTTGGAAAAAAACGAGTAGCTGCGATTAAGTTTTTATTTGTTTATGATTATTTGAATGATCAGATAACAAATTAAAATGTATTTCACAGATTTGATATTACTTGATCGATTTCGCAACATGTGCATTTTATAATAGCTGTCATAATTCGTTTTTGCATTAGTTTTTGGTACGTGATTGGGACGATGTTGACCCGTGCAAGTTCTTTAACGTGTATGTTAAAACATCCGAACTTTTAAGATGGATTAGAAGTGTACAAAATTAAGTTTAATTACGCATTTTTTATGTTAAGTAACCTGTATTGATATTAAACTTGCTGTCTTTAGGCGATTATACAAGATTTAAAGAATATTTTTAGTTTATTTTAGTGTGCGGATTACTAGGTTTAATAAACGTGGTGGTATCCTAATAATCGGAACATATGACGGTTACTGGTGCATGATTAATTAGTTTTATTAGTATGTCTAGATCTTATCTTTGATGTTGTTATTTTAAGCAGTAAGAATATGCTTACGAGTCTGCGGCATACCAATTTCTTTCTGGATTTTAAAGAAAATATACGTTTAACCAAAAAAAATCCTTATGGGTTTTTCGCCACTGCACTGCAAGAAAAATCTACAAAATAAAATAGTTATTTTTTGTAAACACTTCTGGCG